ATGGGAGAGAAGGTTTGGTACCCTTGGTAACGGTGCACCTTTTCCATCCAATATATTTGTACTTTTATGCTTTAGACGTTGTAAATGTCGAAATTTTTCCTCATTTGTCCTCGTTGATATTAACCTCCGTTAGTTTCTTACCACCCTAGCTGTATACGCTAAAAAGATCACACAACTTAAAAATTCTTGATCAGCTTTCATTTCTCCCCAAAAATTTTTACGGTGTAGCTTTAATCCATCGCCCTCTTCGCTTATTCTAGCCAGAACTCCAAATCCCTAAAGTAGTTGCTTCCAACCTCGGGAAGCTAATTCCTTCGATTTCTTTCCCTGTTATAACCAAAACACTAGGTCCACAGAGTTGCAGCTTCTGACCAGAGCTCTAGGTCGCCGTCTCGACGCTCGCCGTTCAAGTTCCCAGCCACTGCCGCTGTCTATTTCCGACGAGGTACACCCAATGCATCTCTAATCCAAATCCCTAATAATCTTCTCTGTATATTCTATATATTTATTGAATTCCAATTTTTAGGGATTTTTGAAAGTGTGAATATTGTTTGTATATGGATTAATTGGTTAGCTTGGTGCTGTTTGATGGATATTTGATTTTTGAAGAATTATACTTTTATACAATGATAAATTATTGTTGGAAATTTCAATTTAAGGTGTAATTTTTAGGTTGGAAAATAGATGGTGTTGGGGGCCCCAAACCAGCAGTTTTTTGCTCGATTATATATCTTCTACCTTCTCGATTTTTACATGTGATTAGTGTTTCTTAGGTTTGATTCTGATATGATCTGCTCATATAATCTTACTCACAGCATACAAACTCATCAATGTCTCTTATTTTTAATGTTGTTGATATATCAAGTGGTGTTGCTATTTTTCTGGTATGGATATCTTCAAAATTTCAGTAACAATATTTACCGTGGTACTATTCTTTTATGGTTTAATACTTCACATTTTTTTACTTGCATGAGTTGACTTATTTACAAAATATGATCAGTATTTTTTCATCATAAATGAGTCAATTCTTAAAATTTAGCTCTATTGAATTAATATTTGAACCAAACAATGAAATTGACAAATACTTTAAAATTCTAATTTAATCGTTTTTCCTATACACCCAATGTGTAATTACTTTTGCCTTTACAGTCCTCACTATTTATTCTTTTTGTATCTCTTGCCTCACTCATACAAATATTGAATCTTTCTGTATTATATAAATGTGAAAGAGGGTTAGGCACTTCTTAATATTATGCTCTTTTTCCATCCAAAAAATAGTACATTTAGCTTTGGATCTTGTACTTAGATTTTTAATTCGCACTTTAACCCTACACCGTTATATCCATTTATGCCACGCGGAATGATTTTTTTTATTCATTTTAGTTTTGTGTGTTTAGCCTTCCTCCTCAAAGACAATAATTGATGAGCTATTATCAGCTAGAAAAATGATTGATGAGCCAGCCATTATTTAACAAATGATCATCATATGTCCTGTTTAGTTGTAAGAATTTAATTTCAAATCCAGTAATTAAGCAAGAACACTATTTGATCACGAATGACAGTTATATGCATTTCAGCTTAGGCTGCATTCTGATCCGTAGACCATAGACCAGGACTTTCTATATTTGGATGACATTTATCACGTGTACCTCACTGGTCATGTTTGACAAATTTATTTTAGAGAATATTAATCTTATCTAAATCGGATTTACAAATTTGCCAATGAAATACAATCTAATGGTAAATAACAATGGAATCAGATTATAATAAACAGATGGAGAAGGATCAGATTGTTTCCAAGAATTTATTAAGTTTATTTCCAATGGAAAAACATCACATTTTTTTAGAAAACTTAAGTCATTAACATTAATTACCACTCAATAGTTAACTTTATATATAAATTTTTCATTCACTTATTAACCATTTTTGACATATAGATGTATAATATATCCATTTCTTAACGGTCCAACCCGTTATTGGATCATATTGATATATAGAATTAAAATTGCCTTCCTGTAAGTCCGTATGGCTTAAATTTTCCAACACCAATACTTGCGTACAAAAGCATAGAAAAAACTAAACGATAAACCCCAAAACCAGATGGACTTAATCTACGTACACATTCTTCATCAAAAGCATTCAATGAGAACCCCATAAACACACAGAAAGCCTAGATGAAAACCAAACATTAAACTCCGAAACCAGACTGACTACATCATAATCAAAGGTGTGCAAAAGATAATAATGCATAGATAAAGAAAAATAACCTTTAAATACTGCTCACTATCATCGAGCCTGATTCTCTTGATTCAGTCCTTCCACTGGTTCTTCGCGGCGCAATAAGAATCACCCGTTCGGTTCCCACTTCCAACACCGGATTTTCATAATGCGATCGGGGCTGAAGACACCCCTTCATCAGTTTGTAACACATTCTGATGCAAATCGCAAACGTAACGCAATGGTCAAAACATCCCAATGTTATTTGGCTCCACAGTTATGACCAACCCATTTGAGTTCAATAGATCAGACAAAGAGACTGAGAAATTGGGGAACCAATTGAACTCCACGCCACCATAATACAAGTTGATCTCAAAAGCTGCTAAGATAGAGTTTTCCATGTTTGGGTGCTTCGCGTCTCGCAGGCACACCATGATTCTGTGATCAATACCTTTTGAATGTAATGGCATAACAAGAGCTTGCACAAGTCCAATGTGCAAAAAGTCATACTTCTTCTTGTGCCTTCTTATATCTTTTCTGGTTAGCAAATAAACATCATGCTGTTTGTTTGTAAAATGAAAATTTTCCTTTACTGACTTAATCTTATGTAGTTACTCAGAAAGTTAAGCCCAGAGAGCAATGGTTCCTTGTAGATCTGGTCGACGGGCATCTTATCCCATTTGTTATCATCCTTTCTTGCTAAGTGAACAACGCGATATTCTTCTTCGCCTACGTCAAAAGGGGAACCTTTCAGAACTGACCTTAAGGATTCGGAGACAGAGACGGAGACTGCCATGGATCTGCTTGTATTCTAAGCTTTACACTGATTGCCTGCAATAATTGAGAGCGATTGGTAAGAAAATTAAGATTAAACTTCAAATAGGTTTTGTTATATGGAACATAGGACCGTGCTACAGTGCACCCACCCCTCCATTGCTGCCTCCCTATTTAAGATGTTTTTTTTACTTTTTCTTTTTTTTTTCTTTCCTCCCTCCGGCTCTGCTCTTCTACTCCAGTCAGCCGCGCGCACGACCTCCTCTCCCTTTTGCGCTCTCCTTCATACAAGGAAGGTAATATCTTTTTTTTCTTATCTTCCTCTTCATATCAAATTCAGATATCCATAAATTGGAAATTCCAAATTGCAGATCAGATCGATTCTTCATCGATTACAACGCCAATCTAAGAAAAAAAACCAGGCGCCTATGGTTATTTGTGGGTATAAACTCTAAATTGATATTGTTCTGTATATTCTTCTTCTTAGTCTCTGTTCAATTTCGGTTCATTGTACGGAGTATAAGTTTTAGGATTTTGGACAGATTCAAAGTCAAATTGATAATTATATGTTATGGTTAAAATTTAAGCAAAATTTTATGATTTTGTATTGAATTGAGAACTTCGTCGTTGTCCCTAGGCTGCGCCAGATGGCTGACTACAGAATTGTTTTGTTTTGTTTTGGTGTTACAGAGATTAAAGTTCTGTGAACCTAGGGTTTGTCCTTGTCACAGATGATAATAATCTGTATACAGTCTGCATTTGGTGTATATTTGTTTTCTTCATAGTCAGGCATTGTATTATATTAAAGGTAATGTTTTTTGCAGCCAGATTTGTTTCTCAACGATCCTTGCTTTCAGTATTTATTTAACGACGAAGGGCAATAACAGGTGAGTAATGAGATTGGACAGAACACAGATGACATTAACAATGATGTCCGGAACAATGGTCAGTGTCTTTCTAAAGGAATCAAAGGTAACGTGCCTGAAGTGGGGATGAAGTTTACAAGCATTGAAGAAATCCGAGAACACTATCTGGCTTATGCTCGAAGTGTAGGATTTCCATGCACATAAACTGATGTAAACCTGATGTAACTCTGTCTTTACATACATTAAGTCTCTGTGAAGTGTGTAACATAGACAGTTATTCCATGTGAGCACCATGAAATCTAATGTATTCATTTTAACTTTCTTTTTACCTTTACAAGACCCCCACATATGTGATAAGATTCTGAAGATGGTGTATGTGCATAAAGTTATGCAACTCTGTTGCCACATACATTAAATCTCTGTGTAATGAGTAAAATAGACAATTATTCTCTGTTAGGTACATTTTGCTCGCATGAAATCTAATGTATGCGTTTTAACTTTGTTTTTAGCTTTACAAAACCCCCACATATGTGATAAGATTCTGAAGATGGTGTATGTGCATAATGTTATGTAACTCTGTGAAGTGTGTGACACAGACAATTATTCCATGTGAGCACCATGAAATCTAATGTATGCGTTTTAACTTTGTTTTTAGCTTTACAAAACCCCCACATATGTAATCCAGTCATAAACTAAGGTAAATCAGTCATCACACACAATAACAAAATGTGCATTAACAAGTAGAAATTCATGATGATAAAAGCCCCATTACAAAGCTTTCAAAAAATGTAAAGTGCATAATGTTATGTAACTCTGTCATGACATACATTAAAACTCTGTGTAACGGGTAAAATAGACAGTTATTCTCTGTGAGGGCTTTGAAAGTAAATTTGTAATCCAGTCATAAACTAAGGTAAATTAGTCATCACACACAGTAACAAATTGTGCATTAACTAGTAGAAGTTCATGATAATAAAAGCCCCATTACAAAGGTTTCAAAAAATGTAAAGTGTTTCCCCAAAAAATACATTACAAAGCACAAAAACAATTACAAAGAGTTTCACAAAAATTAAAGACCCCTAAAATTGTAAAGTAAAAAAACTAAATATTGGTTGTTTTCTTCCACGCCATAACGTAGCTGCACATTGACATCGGAAATCAGCCATGCGTTCAGAACTACAGTCCGGACTTAATGGTAAGCCAACCAACAAAGACTCTAGAAATGCAAGCACCATCACTCCACAATTGTCATACCTGCAAGGGAAAATAGTATTAAAATAAGTTATATGAAGTTCAAATAACAGAACTTAACAATCTATGTCATACAATTCACAAAGTAAGCAAAAATAACAAGCAAGTGCCACAGATTTTGCTACCACTGCAGGGCCGGTTAAAGGGAAAAAAGAAGACACTATCATAGGAGAAAGGTATTTATGACAATAAATAGCTTTCATATGCACGTGCAATAATTTAACACTACGAGCATTGTTTGATGGTAATTTTTATTTTTGAAAGAAAACAATACCCAAAGTACTATAATTGTTTTCATTAAAACCATTGCCAAGAACAACTTCCCCATATCTTTTGAGTCTTTGGGGGGGGGGGGGGATTGCATAAGAGTATTAACTAATAAGCCTAGAAAAAATTGATCCATAACTTGGGATCTCGAACAAACAAAGTAAATAGAATACGTAATGAAGTTGGAGCCTTAAATCAACTAATAAGCCTAGTAAAAGTATATCAAAGCTGCAGCCTTCATATGATTTCATATTAATGAAGTTGTAAACATACAAAACTACATACTTCCACAATATTTAATAGGTCGCTGGAGGTCGAGCGGACAATTTGGGAATTGGGAATTGGGAAAAAAGACGAAAATTTTGAAATTGGGAGCTTGTGGAGGTTGAAGCGGGAGAATGGAGAGAGAATTGGGAATTTGGTCAGCGGGAGAATGGAGAGAGAATTGGGAAATTGGGAGCTTGTGGAGGTTGAAGTTGCATTAACAGAAGTTAAATATCTACACAGACACTAATCATATATGAAGTTCAATAAACAGACGTTAATCGTCTATGAGATACAATTCACAGAAAGCAAGCAAAAATAACAAGCAGACCTCTTTCACAGATAATAATGTTATATGAAGTTCAAATAACAGAACTTAACCATCTATGCCATACAATTCACACAGTAAGCAAAAATAAAAGTTGGAACTACTTCTCCATCATATTAACTGGTGAGAAGTTTCAGAGTTCTTTTATGCAGCCTGTAAAAATTTAACTTTTTTTGCAGTTTAACATTTAACTTTTAACATTTTATGCAGATCCAGAGATCTTCAACCTTACAATTCTCCCTCCACTGCCGTCTCTTTTATGCAGCTTCAGAGATCTTTTATGAACAGAGTTTATATTTATGAACCATTTACTACATACAAGTCCTAATTTAGACACTGCATCCCCCCAATGTGTAATCCTAGGGTTTCACTGCTCAAAAAAAACATTCATCTCTTTCCCCAAATTATCACATGTAATAAATCTAATGAAAATAATTAAGAAAATTATTCTTACTTTGCAGATGCGGAATCAATCCTTCAGGAGTAGGAGCTTTAGCTGGATTTGACGTTTGCGATTATGCTCCAGGACAGGTTGTGGATTCGTCGCAGATGCCGGAGAAGAAGAACGGAGAAGAAGGACGGTGAGGTTGTGGAGGTTGAACCGTCCTGGAGACGAATTTTGGGGGCAAAATTTTGGAGAAGATGCCGGAGAAGAAGAACGGAATTTTGGGAATTTTGGGGGCTGGAGACGAAAAGCCACCCAAAAGGAAAATTGAAAAAAAATTATAATGTAAATATATTGGGTGGCATGCTTGGAGGCACATGTGGTGCCTCTTTAGCATTCTCCATGGAACATAAAAGAAAAATCGAGACCCTGACCCAGAAAGTTGGCAGTTGCGATGTCTTTAAACGTTTGCTTTGTTGAGGGGACACCGAAAACTTGACAGGCTGACCAGAAAAAACAGTATAATTTCTACTTTTTATTTCTTTATCAATTTGTAAATAGATTTTTTTAGAAGGAATAATGGTGGTCCCAAAGTGGTGAAATACAAAGTCTAGAGGGGGGGTGAATAGACTTTGTTACAAATTTAAAAACTTTTTCGTTTCTTTTGAAAATGTGAAGATAAGTGTTAATCTAGAGTTCTTGTGAACTTTAGATTAAGTGCGGGATTTGGTGGGTAGAGTGAGCAGTAATCAATATGGATGGGTTAGTTTTCACAGTTAATATAATTGCAAGTAAGAGTAAAGATAAAAGAGAGAGACACGCAAACTTTAACGAAGTTTGAAGATGGGGTAATCCTTCTACGTCCTCAAAATCCACTATGTAGTTGGTTGTTGAATAATGAACCAACAATTACACTTGTGTGAACTTCTGCACGGTATATGTTCGCAAGACCAATGTTGCTACTGCACTCGTGCTGGCTTTGTTGTTCCTTCGAAGGTCACGCTTCTTCAACAACTGCAAGGTCCGAACAATAGGACTTGCAAGATCAACTTGTAAGAGAGTTGACCTACCCCCTTTTAATCAAAAAGTTTGATCAAAAGTATTATCCTTCAACGTGGTGTGGTACTTGAGGCAAGGAAACCTTCAAGTGTTTACACTATAGCTCTGACATAGAGGTGTTGCCCAAAAGACCAGTTTTTTTCGCGGAAACGTTTTTCACGAATATTCAATAAAAACAATTCACCACAAACAAAATAAAGTGAAGGATAAGAGCAATTCACACACGATATATACTGGTTCGGCCTAAATGCCTACATCCAGTCCCCGAAGCAATCGTGCCCAGGCCTTCACTAACCCGTCAAACTTAACGGAGTTTGACAATCCGAATACAACTCGAGAACTTGATTTCACAAGCCTCTTATCTTACCACCGAAGTTTTGATTTTACAAAACTCAAGATTTCATCCACCTAACGTTTGATTTCACAAACCGTTAGGATTTCTACCACTTGGTGTAATCCCAACACCAAGAATACAAATCCCTTACAATAAAGTAAGAAAACAAACCGCAACCGAGTAATTCTCCCAACACGGAGTAGATTGTTGCAAATACAATGAAGTCCTTTAGAATATGACAATATCTCTCAAAGACTCAAGCAATGAGGAAAAACTCAAGCAAGAAATGATTTAGCAATCAAAACAATTTCCTTGCTTGGAAATATTCAAAGGATATGTTTTTGAAGTGTTTTCAATGTCTATTCTTGTCCAAAAACACGAGATAGGGATTTTATAGAAGTTAGGGAGTGGATAGGGATAAAAAACATTCAAAAAACTAGCCGATTGGAAGTTGAAACTGTCGAACTATTCGACTAAATCAAGACTTAGTCGACTAGTTTTGGCGAAACTGGAATCTGACTTATTCAACTAGTTCTGGATTTATTCAACTAAGTCAGAATAGAAGTTCAAGGATTTATTCAAATAGTTTTCAATTTATTCGAATAGTTTGCTGGAAAAAAAAATGTGTTTTAGAGGTAGGCTGATAAGGGAATGAATCTTAGAGATGTCATACTCTTTAACACAAAATCTAAGACCTAAAACACTACCCAACTTAGGAAATAACCTCTTCGGTCTCATTCCTTCCACCGATGCTCAAGTCCCTTCTTCACGGACGGATATGAACTTGTTGTAGCTTTGATTCTTAGCCTTGATGCACAATATGATAATGATGTTTTGTCACCCTTTTGTCATTATCAAAACCTAATAGACAATGGGCAAAGGACATTGCAAAATATATATTCATGATAGCACATTGTCCAACAAAGGCTACCGTCGGATAGCTTTTTCAAAACGCTAACGCTAATCTCTGACGCGCTGATGCCAAACGGGGCCCTAGATCAGAGAGAGCGCTCAAGCGTCCGGAAAATGTCTTCTGGAGTTTTGAAGTGGAAGTCAAATTCCGTATTTGCTCCTTCATTTTCCAATTGACTACATTTTATTTTCATTTGACCTGCGTTTTCCTATTTGTCCAAACACTAGAAAATGGGAAAAATGGCTTTGAGAAGCCAAAAGAAAAAGAGTTGAAAAATAAAAAATCATTTGTCTAAAATAAAAAATCATGAACATGGACCAAAAACAAAAAAACCGTGGGCTGAGGGAAAAACTCAAAAGCTGATGGTCCTAGTTCAAAGTCAAAATCCATGTGGCAATCCAGAACCCATAAGCCAAAAGTCAAGTCTTGGTTCATTTTAAAAGTGATTTTCTACCAAATGCAAGTTTGAAAACCATAGTTTTATGCATATCAAAAATAACTTAAGTTGAGTAAAAAACAATAAGATAAATTCAACATTGCTCTTACATTGAGTTTTACCTAATGACGTACATCTTGGTGTCTTTGATCTTGAACTCTTGAACATTTCTTTTCTTGCCTTTGTATCATTGGAACAATTTTTACTTCAAGCACACGTTCTTTGTCATCAACACTTACTTTTCTTCAATGTTTGTCAATAATGATATCTTGAGTTCATTGTTTGTCATTCATCAAAACTTATAATTGAAAATCATGCTAAAATATCAATGCACTTATTAATAATTTGTACACGAGGTCTAACAATTTCTCCTTAAAATCATGGTATATCTCAACACATAAAGGATACAAGAATGTAGAAACATCCCCCCTTACTAGATGTGTATCACCTAAACGCTCCCCATTTTGCCATTATAAAAAAGAACATGTAAAGCTACCCAAATACAAACCTTAAATCAGGAGAGACATGCAGAAGAAATGATGCTAGAAAATTACCCTAACCAATTTTCTTCTAGGCTAACTAAATAATTTTTTAACAAAAAAATTTACGCACCAATCTCTGGCTATGGCGCCATTTGACGAAAGAGTTTTAATGGTTGTAAATTTCCCTTTAAAAGAGTTCTATTTATATATTCATGTGTCGTATTAACAAGGATTGGCATGTAATAATTTTTTTTATTAAAAACTAGTTAAACCAAGCTTAATAATTTGTATCGAAAGTTTTCTAATTTCGAAAATTTTGGTTTTCGAAAAGAGAATATGAATTGGTTTCAGGTAGTAGGTAATTTTCAGATAATTTAACTAGTTGGAGTATTAAATTAACTAATTAATTTGACTAGTGAGAAGTTCTATCACAACTACTTCATTAATTTTATCATATCTCTAGGCTTAATTATTGTGCTAGTATTGGTTGACTAAATTATTGTTTTTATTCATAAACAAATGAATATATTAATTCTTTAAAGATTAATTAACAAATTGGCCACTTTAATTAATTAGAACATTACCACAATTACTAGCAACTTATCATTTTTAATTAATTAAATTTAATATTCCAACATAATTATTTTTCCCACATACATACTACCCTATTTCAATTCACATTCCTAAAGTATTTAAACAGACATGACAACAATAAAAAGTATACAAATTGAATAACAGAACATTTTTATAAATTTATTACAAAAAATTACTTCTAGAAAAGCAAAATTAAATAGATCTGGATTTGAAACTTCAAAATAACGAAAGCTAAAACTTGAAAAATTTTCGCCCCTTTTTAAGCAATTTTAGAGAGAGAAAGAGAGAGAAGATTGAATTGAGGATGGGTTGAAATGGATGGGACGCGAGGTATTTATAGTGTGTCGGAGGTCCAGGTGTGTGCCTGGGGTTGGGGTGCACGCCTCTCCGGCGTCTAGGCCGCTGTCTGTTGGTCCAAGAAAAGAGCTGAAATATGAAAAAATATAAAAATCAATTATTTTAATCAAAAAATCGATTTTTAATTTTTCTCCTTCATAAAATTCATCCAGAGCCTCGATTTTTGCAAAAATAAAAAATCGATTTCTTGACCGAAAAATGCACAGACAGGATAAAAACATGCATGTGCACGAGGATAAATATTTTTGTCAATATCCTTTTGTTTCCCACATATCTACATGATGATTTGATGCTCCAATCACCTCGATTATCTCAATATTCAAATTTTGAATATTTATGGATAATTGGGGTGTAGAAATTGAATCCCAAAAAAATATTTTGTGTGTCAAACAATGTATAAGAAAAATATTTGAATAAAATATTTTTGCTTACCAAAAATACTTTGTAATATCAAAATAAGTATTTTGATAAATGTTTGACACACCTTTTATAACATACTCAATTAAAACATTTTTGAACAGTTAAAAAAAGGATTTTTCAACTGACTCCAAAAATATATTATTTTTATATTAACTCTCATAAAAACAATTTTGGAGGGAAGATATTTTTTTTCATCCTTACAATTATTCCTAAGACTCAAATAAATAAAAAGGTCTTCAAAATCTTCTACTCCTCTGAGTCCTTTGTTAGGCTCCGAACGCGTCTCGGACTCCAATAAAATCTTGCTTACCTTCTTGATTCAAGGAATTTGCACTTCAAGTCTTCGTGTTTGTCGTTGTAACACTTTGATCTTGACTTGAATAAATTGTGTTTGTCAATTACCAAAACCTGTGAGTCAACACGTAACAACACAGAAAGGGTTGAACGCATGCATTCCAACAGCCGCTCGGAATCCTGGATCGTGATTTGGCCCAAATTTTACATTTTTGCCATTTCGTTTCAATCTTTTTGTTCCAAAGCCTAATTTAGTCTCTTCTTGACTTGTGATCTTCAATTTGAAAGATTTTTATTCTAATTTTACCATGATATGCTTGGAAAAACTAAATTTAATTTTGAGCAATCTTTTTATTAACATTTTTGTAAAACAAATTTTTTAGCATGAAAAATTATTTAAATTTCTTGATTTATCTTTATTTATTCTCAATAATGTTAAAATATGAGATATAAAATAAGACAAAAAAGGACTTATCACCAGCGTTTGGAGACAACATCGACACATCAAAGCGTCTGTTGCATCTACTACTATCATGACCTGCACGTAACTACTTATGTGCTATTGGGGTCAGACTATCTATTGTGCCTTTTGATGAAAAGAACATTGAAGCCCGCCGAGTATGGTTCTGCAAACACTTTCAGAGCAAAGGGGGTGTTGGTGCGAGTGGTAAAAATCCATCCACAGTTGACCTTGCGCTTCATGTCCTAGATCTGTTGCCATAGGTCTTATATATCTCCCAACTATGGAGCCACCGGTCCCACACACTTCTAGGCTTGGACCCTAGACCGGCTCTGCATTATCTCCTCATTTATCACCACTAGACTCCTAGAAGGTGTTGAATATGTGAGCCCTACATGCCAATCTATATTTATGTATCTGAATATTTATCAAGAATAAAAAGCCCTAAAGATTATTTATGCCTCTCGTGTATCTAAATATAGCTTTAGCCCATAGATTTAGCGCTCTTGTAGCATATATTAGAACTACGATGTTCTGATTATGAAGCTGTTACATTTATAGAGGGTATGTCTAAAATGTACTTAGTCGAATATTATGATAATACGGACGTCATAATATATTAAAACTAATACGTATGAGACAAGATAGCTGCGTCTCATAGGCTTTGGATATAGTAATATCTTAATCTATACGTAAGTGCATATCTGGAGATATGACACTCGATTGACCCACCATGAGAATACTGCATGAGTAATATTTTAATGTGTTAGTAGTATTCTCATTCGACCATTGGTATAACTATCCTTAAATTTGAAGTCATTACGATCTTTGATATGCTAACCTACATACTTTGATTCATAATTCTGCACTATCTCCTCATGCTAACTTAAAGTCATTACGATCTTTGGTTAGACCAGTAAACCAGTGAACCAGTACTTTGATCAGTTCGATCACCAGTCCTGTTCTGAAAACTATGGCTAGAAATATAATTTGACATTAACCCTATGTCCAGTGATGTATTCTGATATTGGTTAGACAGATAACACAAAAATAATGATTATGATTGTGGGCTAATTTCTGACGAAAGACCATATTTCTAGACTATGATTGTAGTATAAAATGACTGTAATTCACAAACGACGCATCAGAAGTGACATTTAGAAACAGGTATGACAAGAAAGATATATTATCATTATAAAATTACACTTTTAGCATTCAAGAAAAAATATTTGTGGAAGATAAAAAAATATTATTTGTGAAAAAGTACTTATAAAAGAAAGGACTATCAAGATAATACATTTAATAATAAATGATTAAATAGAGAAACACCTGTTACGAAGGATGTGAGAAATTTATACCAAAAAAATTGCACTAGTGTAGGACGCCCCGCCAGGCGCCAGCACAAACCGCCACTCGCTCTCCATCCCCCCATTCTCACCGCAAAACCCGCGCAATATTAGAAGCAAAGAAAAAGGGATCGGCAATCAAAGACCCGCTAGCTTTCAATTTGTCACCCTAGGTGCAATTTCGATTTCCATTTCGTCTCTGATCTCTAAGGATAATTCACATTATTGTTTATTCTTTTGTCGCGTTGGGATTTTGTTTTCCATAAGTTATGCTTATGCCCATGGTTGGAGATGGACGAATTTGTGTTTTTGCACCAGAACAAAAGCATTATTATCATTAGTATATGGCCAATCACAACAAAGATTCGACCTTTCTTGGGCCGAATCCACACATTGAGGTGAGTGTATGATCTCTTCTTTATGTATATTTTTTTCTGGATGGTTTAATTTGAAGTTCTATAGAATGAAATGCCGGATACTATCTGTTGTAATTAACTAATTATTTTTCGGATGGTTCAATTTAAAGCTTTAAAGGATGGATATGAATTATAAATTTGTAATTGCAGGAAAGACATCAAAACATATACATTCCCCTCTTTAATTTTTTTCATCATTTGGTAATTTAGAAGCAATACCCTGCGTGATTCGAGTAAATGGCTGATGGGTTGGGCGGGGGTTCCATTTTGAAAGATATATTTTTTAAATTATTGAATGAAAGCAGTTTTCTTTTAGAGAGGATGTCATCATTATCATCTTTGGTCAACCCAATAATTAGAATGCAAGTTACTGGCACTCCTTGTTTTACAGCAGAACCTCAAGTCTTTATATAAGGTGACATTTTGGTATTATCTAATGGCACATTGCTCCAATTTTGCCACTCAACACTCAAGCAAATTTATATGCCCTTTTTCCTTTAAAAAATGGTACTCCATGTCTTTTTCCGTTCCGATACTATTTTATTTGGGATTTTCCACAAAAAGGTTTCATCTTTACGCTTGAACTTTACCTTAAAATGCATATTCCTGTTAGCATCTAGTATGGATAAACTCCAATGTGTAATTTTAAAAATAAAGATGGATTAGGTAGCTGCAAAGTTGATGTAGCTGCTCATATTGCTTGAGATGTATTCCACCTTCCATGATTATTATATATTCTAATGAACGAACATTTTTTTCAACAGATGGGATCATTAGATGGAAGAGCTGTACTTGAGCTCCAGGATGAGAGCCTTGTCAGCCCAAGGCGTGTTAACATGAAGCCAGCATCTCTGGATGCTTCTCCTCATAGATCGTACTTTTATACAAATTCTGATGACCTCAGCTGTAATTCTGTTCTGAATGGGGTGTTATCCAGCATTAAACTCGTGTTCTTATCCAAAAAGCTGAACATTCTTATACCTTGTGGTCCTCTGGCCGTTCTTGTTGATAGGTTTTCTGATCACCATGTAAGTTATTGTTCTTTTGGTCCCCTGTCAGTTCTTGTTCTATTTCCTCTGCAATGTCTTCTTACTGTCTATGTATGTGCTCTTCTTTACAGGGGTGGATCTTCTTTCTAAGTTTGTTAGGCATCATACCACTTGCAGAGCGTTTAGGTTGGGCGACAGAGTAATTCACAATACCTTTAGTCTTAAAATGTGTTGCATTTATATTCTCTTGAATACTTGAATCCAAAACTAAACATTGTTAGCAAACACAGTGCTTATTTGCACTCTTGAGATGTTTCGGAATTTCTATAGTTTCAACCTTTAATGATGAATAAGATATCATTGTTTATGTAGAAGGCTTTTATTTCTTACAATTTCTGGTCCTCCTGAAGAGCATATTAGGGGAAGAATTGAAGAAACGCTAATGATTCATTACATTCTGTGAGGAAATAGATAGGAAACATAGTTTGGTAGCAGAGTTGATATCATGGAAAGCATTGGCATTAAATTTCAACTTGTTTTCATACTATGATACATTCATGCTGTATAATTCTTTATTATCTAAGCAACCTATCCCCTAATTTTGGGCCTTATTTTATGCAGGCAGATGGCTTTCTATACTGGTCCTACAGGTTGTACCCTTTATCCGAAATTGAAGAGGAAAAATATGACTTTCAATACGTTTGTGTTTGTGCATATCAACTTTGAATCCAATATCTCATTTCCTTATTCTTGTTTTTCTTTATATGCATAGTTATGCCAGTTTTTGTTTTTTAAATATTAGTATGCTTCTGCATGTGAGCTTGGTTCTTACGTGCAACTTTCCTTTTTTCATCCTTTTCGTTGCCTTGTTTTTTAGTGTTCCTTTTGTTTTGAGCCGGGAGTCTTTTGGAAACAACATCTCTACTTTTTTAGTAGGGGACATGTCTGCGTACACCAGCTTCCCTAGAACCCACTTTGTGGGATTTTACTGTGTTTGTTGTTGTTGTTGTTGTTGTTGTTGTTGTTGTTGTGTTTTGCTGAAACTGATTCGAGGTGCCTCTTCACTTCTCTGGTCTACTTTCTCGATTTTAGATTAGAGCTAATTTTGAAGACTAAGATGATATCTCTGAATGTTTTTTGAAAGCAACATTGCTTATGTTACAAGACTAAGGAATGTTCCCAGGAAACAAAGTAGGTTTTGGCACATGATAATCAAATATAATCAGGACAGTGCCCCTAATGAGGATATTCACAAGCTAGACCCTTCAGCGTAGTTAATGGTACTTTGAACAATAAATGGACACAAAAAAGACGCAAAAGGTTTGCAATAAACCCCACTCATACAATGCCTTTAAACTTCTTGTGTTCCTGGCCACATATTCTGGTATGGGGCCTATAGGGACTCGAACAATATTTATTTGGCACATTCAGGGTTTTGGTAACTAAAAACTTGTGCAATCTTGCCACTGTTTCCGTGGGAGTCTGTTTTCAAAGATTTGATCCACTGACAGCCTGACCAAAGGCCAAAGGGTCAGTGTAACTAAATACAAAATCTTATGCACACTTTCACTACACCAATCCAAACCTCAAAACACACTACATACAATGATAAACATGGTCAATATAGCCTAATCCAAACTTTCTGAGCATAATTTGGTTTCAATGTCTTCTAGAAAGAATTGTTTAGGTTGGATTCAACACTAATGTTGTGTGCTTTGCTTTTTCTATTTATGCGAAGTACTAATAGATTTCCATGGCTTCATTTGATATTTTGTAGTTGGAGGCCTTTTAATTGCCACCTTTGGTAATGCTACGGAATTAATAATATCAATGTATGCACTAAATAATGGGATGATGCGAGTTGTTCAGCAGTCACTTCTGGGATCAATATTGTCAAACATGTTACTGGTGCTCGGATGTGCATTTTTTGCTGGTGGAATTGTTTACTCTAACAAAGAGCAGGTTTTCAACAAGGTACACCCATCCATACAGTGTGTCACTTTTACTTTTTAATCAATGGTTTAACGTTATTGTTATCAGTGTAAAAGTAAATTTGTTTTTTTATATTTGTTTGCTAGGGAACTGCAGTTATGAATTCTGGGCTGCTTTTGATGGCTGTAATGGGGCTGATGTTACCTGCTGTCCTCCATTTTACCCACACTGAACTGCACTTTGGAAAATCAGAGGTGGCCCTTTCCAGGTTTAGTAGCTGTGTGATGCTTGTAGCATATGCCGCCTATCTTTTCTTCCAACTTACAAGCGAAAAGAGTCACTATGCGCCAATTACAGAGGTGAGGTTCTAATTCTTTTGTTTTCTTTGCTACGCTAAATATTTTTCTCATTTCTCATCCTATTTATTGAACTAGGAGTGAACGTCGTGCCTCATCCTTTTACGGTGGCTTTCGTTAGTATTGGTGACGTAAGGTCGTATGATTGGTTGAGCGGGAGGCTAGCGAGGAGGGCTAGGAGGATGCCTAGGTTAAGGTTTCGGTCATGGAAGTATGGAACATAAGTACCTTGACAGGAAAGTCTATAGACTTGGTGAACGTCCTTAAGAAGATGAGTATTCATGTTGCGTGTGTGCAGGAGACTAGATGCATGGGTACTAAGGTGCATGATGTGGATGGGTACATGTTGTGGTACTTTTGCACTTCAAGGAACAAGAATTAGGTTGGCTTATGTTGGTCACGATCTTTTGGAGTTTGTGGTCAAGATGCAAAGGGTTAGTGATAGTTGGTGATTAAGCTGGTGCCGGGTGGGAGTGTTATCAACATTGTGAGTGCCTATGCACCTCGCCTAGACAAGGAAGCTAAGAAGGTGTTTAGGGAGGAGTTGTGTGGAGTTATAGGGAAACTCATCATTAGAGGCGATTCTAATGGGCATATTTGGAATGCTGCAAAGGGTTATGAGGAGCTGCACGTAGACCTGGCAAAACTGACCCAGACCCGATAACTCGAACCGAATAACCCGGAACCGAATTCGAAATGACCCGAAAACTGGAGAACCAAATTAAACCCAAACACTTGAAATGATCCGAACCGAACCAAAATCAAACCGAATGTATTCAAACTTGATTCAGATCCGGATCCGATTGAACCCGAACCAGTTAGACCCGAACCGATTAAACCCAGAACCGATTAGACCCAAAAACCGATTAGACCCAATATTGGTCAAGTTCAAAACAAATTAAACTCAAATCCAGACAAACTTAATAGCTCATTGCTTGATGTCTTTCTAAGAAAAACATATTTGAGTTATAGGTACAACTAATTTAATGTACAAATTTTTTACTCCGTATTTTATCACTTAAACTAAGGTTGTTATTTTTATAGAGAGTATTAAATTTATAGTGACATCGTAACACACATTAATCGATATACTAGCTCATTATCGCTGACACTTGTATATATACTCTCTTTACACTTAGGGATGTGAGGCTACACACAAGGCTAACAATAGGAACTCTAATACCAAGGGATATCATCTGAAACTGGTATAAACCCGAACTAATATAAACCCGAACCGATATAAACCCAAAACGAAATCAAACCGAAACTAAAAAAAATCAAACTGAATTTAACCCAAAATCGAACTAACCCGAAACAACCTGACCCAAACCGAGTATAACATATATATGAAAGAGACCAGAATCGAAAAGATCCGAACCGGAATCGATTGATCCGATTGCCAGGTCTAGCTGCACGTAGGGTTTTGTTTTGGGGGAAAGAATGCGTGGGAGGGGGGTTCACTCTTGGAGTGTGCTAGACAGAGTGATTTAGTGATCGTTAACTCTTGGTGGTGAGGGTCATTTGCAGGATGAGAGGGGGGAGCCATGAGACCATATGAGATTTGGTGGAGTCCTAGAAGATTGTGGACATCGATGGGTTGGTGTGGATTACCTAGTTGTTTGATTTTACCTCCATCCCATAGTATTCATCCAGTTTAACTGTTCCAAGTCAAAACTGGAAACAATTTATCATCAATTTTAATGAAAAATGTATATTATTTGCTGACTACATTGTTTTGATTAATGAGACACGTGAAGGACTCAATGATATGTCAAAGGTATGGCGTAAATCCTTGGTGTCTAGAGGTTCCTAATTGAGCAGGACTATGTATGAGTATGTGGAATGTTGCTTTAAAGGTAAGACGACAAAGTTGAGAATGGAAGTGAGGATGTATTTGCATCCACTACCTCAAAGGGACAAGTTTTGGTACCTTGGATCCATCATTCATGCTGATGGAGAGATAGATGGGGATGTTGTTCATCAAGTTGGAGCAGCTTGGGCAAAGTAGAAGTTAGCTTCAAGCGTCCTTTTTGATAATAGGATATTGACAAACCTAAAATGGAAGTTTTATGGTCCAGTGGTTATATCGGCTTTACCGTAAGGAACAGAGTGCTGAGCAAGGAAGATTAGTCAAGCTCGTTTGCTTCAAGTGGAAAATAAGGATGTTGAGGTGGATGTGTACCCATCAAGGATGGATAAGATCCGGAATGAGGTTATTTGGTGAAGGATGAGATTGGTCTCTGTGGAGGAGAAGTTGTGAGATAGTTTGGCCACTTAATGAGTACTGATGACCCAGTGAAGAGGTGCAAGAGTCTTGCGGTAGGGGGTGGGGGAGGGGTAGAGGTAGACCTTGTATGAGTTGGAAGGAGGTGATTAGACAGACTTACGACTTCTAGATCTTACTGAGGATAAGACTTTCGTTTGTTGTTTTGCTCCTGTGTTTTGAGTCGAAACACCCTCTCTACTTACCCAGTAGTGGTAATGTGTGTGTACACACACACCCAAACCCCACTTCGCGGGGTTTTACTGGTCTGTTATTTTTATGAGTTGTCAATATATTTTTGAACTTTAAAATATTGGGTTTTCATGCAGTTACAATACCTTGTACGCCTTCACCAGACAGATTTATGCAACCGATTATGCATTGCCACTAACTTGGTTTGTTACATGTCATTTCTAACTTGTGATACTCTATGAAAACTCATGCACATTTTCAGGAAGGGAGTCAAAATGACGGTGGCCTAGATGATGATGACGAAGCTCCCGAGATATCAATGTGGTCGTCAATCATATGGCTTTCTATTTTGACAGCGTGGATAGCTCTTCTCTCTGAATACCTGGTTAATGCCATTGAGGTAACTAAAGATTGAAAATCACCTACAAGGTCATAACTTTTTAAATTGGAATAGTTCACCTCCAAATGGGCAAATCTTACCTTTTTCCATAAATGATGTCTTGTCAGTTTTTTTTTAATTTTTAAAGTTACACATCTCTAACATTATACACGGATGAAGTCTTTCCCAATTAGTTGTTGCTATACATAAATTTGAATGGATGTTATTTAGGGAGCATCTGTGGCAATGAACATTCCGGTGTCATTTATAAGTGTGATTCTACTCCCAATTGTTGGCAATGCAGCAGAGCATGCTGGTGCTGTCATGTTTGCTGTGAAAGACAAGCTTGTGAGTATCCTGCCACATACTTTTGTGAAAAAAAAGATTTACGGTACAAAAGTTGCACCCCTTATTTGCTCAGTATTGGCGCAGGACATCTCTTTGGGAGTAGCAATTGGATCTTCTACGCAGATAGCCATGTTTGGTGTAAGTAGAGAATTCTCTAATTTCAATAAAAATTGATTTTTACACATCATATCTATTGGGAGTTTTAGCGATGCAGGACTCTCAAGATAGGTTAACTGTTGTTGTGCTTGCTTGAAATATCCTTAGTTATCATGGCGGGAAAAGGAGACCTAACACCCAAGTAGAGAGCTCTGCTTAGTGTTAGGGCTCCCTTTCCTGCTTCCAATTCATAGAATATTGCATATCTTTCTCTACCTTCCGAAGTCATTGAAATGAATTACTTTATGGTATGTTTGGGAACATGGATTTGGATTTCAAATCCGGATTTGGCTCAAATTCCATGTTTGGAAACTTACAAATTTTGAATTTGGATTTGAATCAAATTCTTCTCATTCATAACAAAGCTTAATTTTAAATCCAAGCACCTCCCCTTGTCATTTGAAATTCAAGATTTCAAATTTTGGAATTGAAATACATGAATTGAAATGAAATCTTAGTTGCCAAACACTACCTTAGTGGTTTCATTTCGTGTGACATGTATGTGTCATTGAAATGTATTTTTTGTTGCAATTAACTTTGCAGATCCCTTTCTGCGTGGTTGTTGGGTGGATAATGGGGCGTCCAATGAACCTGGACTTTCAACTTTTTGAAACGGCCACCCTGTTTATGAGTGTCATAGTGGTAGCCTTCATGCTGCAGGTTTGTGATTCCCATAAAAACAATGAACTATGTTTTTGATGTTTTCTAGCCGATACTTACTATTAGCCCGTGTTTTGAGCCGGGTTTCATGGAAAACAACCTCTCTACTCTCTGAGTAATGCGTACACACCCTCCCCAGATCATACTCTTTGGGATTTTACTATTAGCTTCTCGATTTCCTCGTTCCCATATATGACTTTGGGGTTTTGTTCTAATAAACATTAATGTGCTTACACATTTCCCTTTTATAGCTAATCTGTACATTTCAATTTTTTTTCTGTAGGAAGGAACATCAAACTACTTTAAAGGGTTGATGCTTCTGCTATGCTACCTAATAGTGGCTGCAAGTTTCTATGTACACATGGATCCCAAGTCTATACGTGAGTTGCTCTTCACTCGTTCATCATCATAATTCATTCATCCATTTATTCCAGTAACAATTCAGTATCAATATAATCTGAAGCTAACTTTTGACGATTAAAAGACGGCTTCAAATTTGAACGAATACGGCATGCAAATGACATTGTTTGGAATTTTAGCTTCAAATTATGGTAATCTGGTGTGATACGATATTTCAGAATACAAGCCAAGCGGGACATAATCATACCAGGGATGCTAAATTTGAGGAGTTTTTTTTGGGGTGCTGCCCAGGTTGCTGTGAAGCTCATCTTTTTTGTTGCTTTGCCATGTACAGATGGAGAAAATCTATATATATAGCTGGATGTATAGTTTATTTCCCTTTTTGGAAATTTTGTTCAACACCAGGCATCAAGTTCCAACTAAAAACAAGATGTTTTCATAAAGTTTGGATTTTGTTATATATAGCTATAGTATACACCTGTAATTAGAGTTTGGTAATAATAAGTACGGAGAAGTTCTTTGCCCAATTCATACTTCTTGCATACGCCTGCACTACCGTTCTTTTCGCTTCAATTCTTGTGTTGAACGTTTGATCAATAATATTTCGACTATTAGCAAACATTATTAAAAAACAATACAGAGTATTATACTAAAAGTATTTATCAATACAAATGTTTTGTACGTAGATCTTTTATATTTCACTTCATTCAATAAATTTAAATAATTTGTCAAGCCACAACACGAAAATAAAAAATGGATTATTCAGGGTGTGATTAGTTAATGCATGTGCATATCTAAGGACAAAAGAATTGAAATCCGAAAATTCAATCATATTAAGATCTGTGGAAATCAGATAAAAAACAATTGAGATTGAAATGACATCAAAGGCCGGCTCTCATATCAATAGTCTCATTTGATTCTTTAGATTATTTGAAAAAGTCATATTTCGTCCTTCAAAGTTCAAATTAGTCAAAAGATGAGATTGGTCTTGAGTCGTTGGTTTTTTATAATTGTAATATTTATATAAATACATCAATCTTATTAATATTTAGATTAATTAATTCAAAAAAGAAGTTTAACATTAATTAATTCAATGTTAAACTTGAATTGATTCAATTGAGTTCATGCAGACCTTTCAGGTTGTCAATTGAAAGGATTCCCTGACCTTTCGGGTTCTCGAACAACTTCTCGAGCTATCCTTGATCTCCACAACCTGGACTATCCTAACAGGGGTTTTGATGTTTCATAGCCCAACTTCATGAAGAGTTCCAGACCTCAAGACGCTCATTAATAAGGTAATGGTTGTCGTGTATGGTGATCGATCCACAAAGAAAGATCGATCTAATGACGGACAGAGCCCAAACAAAAGGATCCAAAACATGTGTGCGAGTGGCATGTACAAATTGGAGCTTAATGACTTGTTTTAGACAAGAATTGATGTTTGAAGAGGCTCCCAAAACAAAACAACTCACATGGGATGATGAGTTTAATTCAAATTCAAAAATTTGAATCAAGAGATGATTTTTTTGGTGTAGACATGTATTTATTTCTTATATTTATTCTATGATGATGAAATATTAATTAGTGTATTTTTCTATTTTTTTCGTCTCCTTTCTCTCGAGACAAGTCTTGTTAAAGTACATTAACAAATTGTTTCGTAGAGAAACCAAACAATTTGATCTTCTTCATTGTATCCCAAAAGTTCTATCTTGTAACCCTTGTTGCTTATAATAGGGTAGATAAGAAACTTTTAGGAAAGCGTTTCCAAGGATCACGCGCCTTGAAGGTTTATCCGGTTAACTTAACCAACCATGTTTTGAACTACGTGTGGCTTGATCCCCTTCATTGGGGTACATAGGCAACTTAGAATGTTTTATTTTTCTAAGTGCAGTCACAATAATAAAACTATTTTTTATTGTTCAAACAAGTAGTACATACATATGTTCTTTTTTAATTTAAAATATTGATGTTTCCCCATGTCAATTTAGATATGCACAAAAGATTCTTTTATCAATTACTTTGGGAACATAGGTTAGTGTCATGAAAATTAATCAACAAAATGCGCGCTCTACAGAATAGTATTTATATTAAAAAATGGAAGAAAAAAATAATGATAATAGTAGTTAGATCCTCCAAGTTATTTTTTTAATTTCAGTTTGGTTAAAGATGTTCAATGAAGAAAAATTTTTAGGGTTTTAATCACGCATCATTTTTAAAAATATAAGACTAATGATGCACTTTTGATAGTTCGAGAGAAAGTACGCACACCCGCATTTTCTAGAGAGTAAGAATTAATCAACAAAAAGCTCTATGGAGTACTATTCATATTAAAAAGTGAAAGAAAAAGTGAGAGAAAGCATGCACACCCGCATTTTCTAGAAAGTAAAAATTAATCCACAAAAAGCTCTACAGAGTAATATTTATATTAAAAAGTGAAAGAAAAAATGATAATAGTAGTTATATCCTCCAAGTTATTTTTTTTAATTCAAGTTTGCTTAAAGACATTCAACCAAGAGAAATTTTTAGGGTTTCAATCGTGCATCATTTTTAAAACTATAAGACTAATGATGCACTTTTGATAGTTCGAGAGAAACCACGCACACCCGCATTTTCTTGAAAGTATAGGGACTATATCTATAATTCTGCATTCTTAAACATTCAGGGAGAATACATGCAATATATGAGTTGTTGGGAGGAAATAAGGCACTTAATGAAAAGTATATAGACGAAGAATGATGCATTTTGAAAGTTGGGGGAGAAAATATGAATCTCATGAAGAGTTCGAGCAAGGGTACGTAAATGACACAGACTTTTTTCTAAATATATAAATTTAAATGATCATTTAATAACTAAAATATTTTGACAATTATGTGAAAGGGCATGAATATAGCCGAAATATGAAATTTGTTTTCAAGGAGCTTATACTAAAAAATACTTAAAGGAGATACTAATTGTTGTCATAAATGCGTAAGTAATTAGGGTTAGTGTAATCTTGGAGCTAATTAGGAAGGAGTTTTACCAAAGGCTGGTTGAGTGGAAAGAAAAAAGGAAAGCCGCTACTCCTAAAAAGCGTAGGATTAAGCTTTCATTCTCCTACAAAGCCTAGAATTACACACACACTTATAAATAACATCTCCTCGACCTCTACCTCTCATTCTCCTACAATATTCAAATTGAAAAGAAAACCATAGTCACATGGCAGAAGCCATCATGCCGCCACAAGAAAGTATTAAGACAAGTGATCCTCATCATCCGTTCTCTAATAACAACAATTATCACCATGCCATGTTTGGCATTAGTACAAGTATCCATGATTCTTTACTCCCTCCAAAGAAACATGGGCGGCGTGGTCTTGTTCTTCAGCAGCCCGCGGAGGAGATGTTTCCGGCCGGGAAGAAGCCGCGGCCGCAAGACTACTCAAGAATCATCGCTGCTGTATTGCTTGAGGAAAAGATAGAGAAGGCGGACGTGGACGATCTCCAACCGCGCAAAGCCTTAAAAACCAATTCAGTGGAATCAACTGAAGAATTAAAGGGAATTGAATGAGTAGTTGAAAAACCAAATCCGAGTCGTCTATCTATCGTCTTTTTGTGTTTAATTTTATTTTGTGTTTAATTTGTTACGTTTTCCACAAATTCTACTTGATTGTATTGTCTGGCAATTGATGAAGTGTATGGATATAGCTAGAGAGATACGATGGTTGCTCGTGATCATCATTCTATATATATTGTTAAAATCCTTGATTGATTTTTCTTGATTATTTGCTGGCTTGGATATGGTGCATGCAATAGTACATGCTTCTCTGATCTGATCTTATGCAGTTACTCCGTATATTTGTTTAGAAATATTTGCACTGAACAGCATTTCAATCCTCGGATTCCTGAGATTGTTTAACCAATGCAGTTCTTAGAGGGTCTATTCTTAGATTTCTTACAAATTCCTTATTACTCGCTATTACTAAAAAATTCCTTATTATATTACGGAGTACTCCGTATGATTTATTACTTCCCATCTAAAATGTTTGTCCACTTTCAATATGTTAAGCATCAAAATTGATAAATTTTAATTGTTAATTAAATACTCCCTTCATTCTCAAAAACACTTCCTCTTTCATTTTTTTCACTTCCAACAAAACACTTCCACTTTCTATTAAAAAACCACTTTTACCCTTACTTTTTCATGCCCTACCTATCAGATCATACTTTTTCTCTAATAATCTACCCATCACATCTTACTTTTACTTATCACATCAAGGGCAAAATTGGAAGTCAACTACAATTTAACACTTCCTTATTTTTCCACTTTTTCAAAGTAGGAAGAACGGAGGGAGTAAAATTTATATACTCTATGACGGAAGTAGTATTATTTAATTTGTTTAATAATTACGTGTAAAATTTTAAAACTTGTACCCCGTAGAATAAACTTCATCCTCACGTATTATTTTCTCCATTTCTAAAAAGACTTCCTATTTTGACTAATATGTGAAATAAGGAGTCTATATTTGTAGCTGAATTTCCAATTTTACCCTTGATAATATGGTTAAATTATTAGTAAAACAATATAATGTGATAGGTAGGATAAAAAAGTAGGGGTAAAAAATGATTTTTAATAGAATGTAAAAGTTTTTTTGGAAAAACAGAAAAAAATGAAAGAAAAAGTGTTTTAAACAACGGAGAAAGTGTTATTTATCTCACCAAAGTAAATACGGAGTAAAAGGGAAGGAGTATTTATTTTTTCACTTATTTCTTTAAACTAATATAGACTTTATTAACGGTGACAAAATCAAAGTTGAGATTATTTTTGATTAATTTTCATTTTTAAAATTTTTTTGGAAATTTTAATTAAAATTTTTAAAATAACTTTCTACCTCCATCATTTCTATTTTGTTAAAGATTAGTCTAACTTTGGAAAAATAAAAATAGATATAAAAATAGATATAAAATTATAGATATAAAAAATAACAAAAATAAAAAATAACAAAAATCATACAACGTAAATGAAAAAATAGTAATAAATAGAAATTAACCTGAAACTTATAAAGATAAAATAAAAATATATGGAGTGGTGGGTTTTAACATTTTACATACTTTACAGAGCATTAATTTACTACTTCTTCTTATTTTTAGAAAACATTATCTAGAATAATCATAACTTTACCTGTATAGTGCGTAAAATATTAGAGCACTTCACTCTTTATATGAGTAAAATGTTAGAGCACTTCACTCTTTACTCCTAATTAAAATGAGTAATTTTAATTAGGAGTACGTGTTAAAGTTTATTCCATACTCATGTTAGGAAACGAGAATTTTGATCTTATTTTCTATATTCGGGCAACGTCAATGAATATTTTAGTGATGAAAAAATAATAGATAAAATAATGTCCTTGAAAAATATAATGTCTACGATATTTAATGTCCGGTAATGAAGAAAAAAGAAGAAAAAAATTCCTAATTAACAATAAAACTCTATTCTCTTAATGCTCTATGTCCATATATTAATGTCCAATGTTGTTTATTGCTCCTAATAATATGCTCCAAACTCTCTTTCCTTAATGTTCTCCAAAGTATATTTCTTTAATGTCCATATATTCATTCTGGAGAGACTGTGGCAATTTAATGTCCACGTGATGGGACATAAAATATAAAATCATAGAAAGGGTATTTTAGTACACTATAATTAATAATTAATTCTTAAGTAATTAATAGTAAATACATTCCCAGTAGAGAATAATTAAAAATATATCAGTTGTATAATGTCTAAAAAATTGGTGAAAGGACATTAAATAAGAAATATTAAGTTAAAATATAACGAAAATTAAACCAAAATAACTTAATACAAGTCAATGATATCAAATCAGTTATACTAAAAATATAAGGTTTCTTAAGATTTATTATAAATTTTTTATAGATTTTTTTTGAAGAATATATATATATATATGTATATATATATATATATATATATTCTTAAATTTTTCTATGCTGTAAATAAATATTAGTTATCAAATGGACTAAAAATTCCAAAAGATATACATAAGAAAAAGGGTAATTTACCTAAATAGGACTAAAACATAATGACTTTCTCAATAGAGGACCATTGGTCATAATCTATTAGTCATTATCCAACTAAATGTCCAGCATCACTTGGACATTATTCTTCTCAGTAGTCATTATTAAGTCTTATTTAGGAAAAAAAGTTTAAGTCTTACATTGGAAAATGACTTATATTTTAGTCCTATTCTATGCAAAGGTAATTTACATAAATAAGACTAAAACATAATGACTTTCTCAATAGAGGACCATATATTTTTATTTCCAAATGTAAGACAATTGATCATTATCTATTAGTCATTATTCAACTAAATCATGTTCAGCATCACTTGGACATTATTCTTCTCACTAGCCATTATTAAGTCATATTTAGGAAATTAAAAAATTTAAGTCTAACATTAGAAAATGACTTATGTTTTAGTTTTATTCAATGCAAATTTCACTAAGAATAAAGGTAATTTACCAAAATAAGAAAGAAAGAATTTATAAAATTCTATTATAATGACGAATAATATTAAAGGTAGAGTATAACTATGTTTTTTTGTACCAGGTCATTAACTATGTTTAAAATTTATAATACTTTATTTGTATAAAAATACCAACCTAAGGAAATTAAAGTATGTAAAAAAGTATGTAGGAAAAAATGCTCAAAGAAATTGACGTCATTTTTTTTAAAAAAAAAGTAGGATCATTTAATGAGTATTAAATGTAAGGATAAAGCTACTTGTACCCCATGTTTTTGTACCCCACTTTGTACCCCGTAGGTTTGCACCAACACTTTGTGTTGGTGGAAAACCAATTTTTGTTAATGCACAAACACTTTGTGTCCGTGTAAATTTTTGTTAACGCACCAACACTTGTGTCGGTGCAAACCATCAAAATGTTTGTGTATGTCTGCGGTGTACAAATGGGGTACAATATGTGGTGTAAGTGTAGCATGACCCTAAATGTAAAGGAGATATTCATTAAAAAAACTTGGAAAACCGCCATTTTGTTGTTCGCACGTGGCATGGCTTTTTAAATTAAAAATTGGGCTAATCGAATTGTGCGGTGGAAGCTAAGGCTAATCTAGTCTATTCACATACCGAAACATCTACTAAGGGTCCGTTCCGTAGGATTTATTTTTTCTACTTATCACTTATTCTTATTAAAATCAGATCAGATCAGACCAGACCAGACCTAATCAGATCATATCAGATCCAATCAGATCAGATCAGATTCAATCAGATCAGATCAGACTCAATCAGATCAGATCAGATCCAATCAGATCAGACCAGATCCAATCAGATCAGATTAGATCCAATCAGATCAGACCAGATCCAATCAGATCAGATCAGACCAGATAAAATCCAATGATATCAAATCAAGAAAATATAAAAGATAATATTTATATTTTTCAAGGATTAAATAATAATTACTATTATTTGATTAAATCACATTACTTTATTTAAAAATACACACACCTAAATCTTAATTAATATTATAATTTTAAATATTATTGTTGTTATATTATTGTTATTATTATTATTATTATTATTATTATTATTATTATTATTATTATTATTATATTTCAACTACAAACCATTATTTTTAATAATTTTTTAGCTTGTAGGATAGAAATGATGCATGGAAACAATGTTAAAGCTTAAAAAGTTTTATTTTTCATACTTTAAAAAGAGTTATTTTAAAATACTTGTTTTATAAAATAATTATACAAAACTTAGTTTTCAAAACTATAAATATTTTATACTTAAAAAGACTTATTTTTAAGCTTTAAGATGGTAAAATATACACAAGGGTGAGTTAGTTTATGACAAAATTGATAGAGGTGAAAGGGATACTAGTGTTTAAAATTTTATATGGTATTTAATTTGTAACATGAAATATATTATTATATAATATGTATATAGAATGCGATATTCTTGTAGAATACTATATCATCAATATTTTCTAATATTTGGTTATTTTTATACCGATTATTTAGTTTTCACAAAAATTAAAAAAGTTGTGATATTGAAAAGATGTTTAATATTTTTTAAAAAAAGTTTAAACATATCAATGATTAGCTGATTTTCTTGTTTTACCTTTTTTATGTATATATGAATTGTAATACTTTAAAACTATTAAATTTTGTAATAACTTTAAGTTTAGTTTAAATCAAATTTAAATTCATTTACACCACATCTAATTAGAGAAAGTCAGATCCAATCGGATCAGATCAGATCCAATCAGATCAGATCAGATTCAATCAGATCAGATCATATCCAATCAGATCAGATCAGACCCAATCAGATCAGATCAGATCCAATCAGATCAGATCAGATTCATTCAGATCAGATCAGATCTAATCAGATCAGATCAGATCCAATCAAATGAGATCAGACCCAATCAGATCAGATCAGAAATTCAAAAATTCAGATCAGATTCAATCAGATCAGGCGTACGGAACAGAGCCTAAATAGGATTGGTCCTATATGGGGAAAACTACTATGTTTTTGTCCTATATAGGTAATTTAGGCGAAATATGAATTTTTTTGTTTGAAGGACCTTATATTAAAAAATATTTAAAGGAGATACTACTTGTTGTAATAAATGCGTAAATAATAATTAGGGTTAGTGTAATCTTGGGAGCTAATTAGGAAAGAGTTTTACCAAAGGCTGCTTGAGTGGAAAGGCAAAGGGAAAGCCGCAACTCCTACAACGCGTATGATTAAGCTTTCATTCTCCCACAAAGCCTAGAATTACACACAATTATAAATAACATCTCTTCTACCCATACCTCTCATTCTTTTACCAATTCAAATTGAAAAGAAAACCATATATAGTCGTCATGGCAGAAGCCATCATGCCGCCACAAGAAAGTAAGACAAGTTGTCACCATGCCATGTTTGGTATTAGTACAAGTATCCATGATTCTCTACTCCCTCCAAAGAAATGTGGGCGGCGTTGTCGTGTTCTTCAGAAGCCGGCGAGGAGATGTTTCCGGCCGGGAAGAAGCCGCGGCGGCAAGACTCAAGAATCATCGCTGCTGTATTGCTTGAGGAAAAGGTAGAGGAGACGGACGCGGACGATCTCCAATCGCCCGAAGAAGGGGAGGCCCGCACGAGTTGGTCGTGCGCCTTAAAAACTAATTCAGTGGAATCAAGTGAATAATTAAAGTGAATGAGTAGTTGAAAAACCAAATCAATTCATCCGAGTCCTCTATCCTCTTTTCGGACAGTCGGAGGAGACTCTGGTCTCCTCCTTCCACTTTGGTTTTATTTGTGTTTAATTTGTTTTAATTTCCACCAATTCTACTTGTATTGTCTGGCAATTGATTAAGTGTATGGATATAGCTAGAGAGATACGATGGTTGCTCATGATCATCATTATATTCTATATATACTATGAATATCTTTGATTAATTTTTCTTGTTAAGGAATGTAGTAGGGTTTGTTGTTAACGGGCTCTTTCTTGGTCTTGGTCTTGTAGCTATTATAAATAGCGGATTTATATGTAATCAAATCATCAAGTTCAGTTTTAATAATATTTCTACATGGTGTATCAGAGCCAAATCTTGGAAAGCCTAAACCCTAGTTTGTTGTAGTCTAGCTTCCGCCGTTGCCGCCGTCGCCTATGATTTGCCTGGCGACGGCGGCGTCACTGCCTGTTCCTGTTTCCACTGTCCAAACTTCAACATCGTTCTCTCAATAGTTCAATTTTACTTGTCCAGCCACAAAAAAAAACTGGTCGTAATCAATTTCTGGCTTAATTTTTGTTCAACATCGTTCAACAAATTTGGGCACCACCAGTCTCAGTCGTCGTCTCCGAATAGCCATCGTGCAGACACTGGAGGTCGGATCTTCTGGTAGTGTGTAGATCCAAGTTCTCTAAAGTCCACCAATCTGCCGCGCCGCCCAAGAATTGTCGGCCAAAGACTTGGATCGATCAATTTCACACCAGGAAGTTCCCGATCACAGAAACCTTCGTCTCGATCGTAGGTCTTCTCCCGATCTCATCCCGTTTTGTCCGGAACCGTCTCTGTCCCGTTTCCTTCGCTCAATTCCGTTACCTCCGTCGCTTGTAGTTTGTCCAGCGGTGGCGGCGGCATCATCATCCGCAAGTTTGTCCAGCGACGGAGAGTTCATTGGTTGTACCTATTTGGGTAAGCCTCAAATTTGGTCCGCAAGTTACAACCACAAATCAAATAGGGTGGGCCACTGCATCTGTCTCATGGCTCTATTTGTTGGGTTTAATATGGTGGCATGAAGTTTCTCTCAAAGTTGGTTACTAGTTCTATAGTGATTAATGGATTGGTTTGCTCGTACTCCACGGAAGAAGATTTTCATATTTGGACCGAGCCATTTTGTTGACGTTTTGATGACATTGTTTTTGGTTGCTATTTGGTATGTTCAAGTGCAACTAGCTGTATGTTCGGCATGTATGTTTGTGAGGTTGGTCGCATAGTCGCGCCTCAGTCCGACATATCAATTTGTGAGGTTGGTCGCATAGTCGCGCCTCAGTCCGGCAACACAGCCTCCAAGTTTGGGATGCTTGTTAGTCGTCCCCGTGTCACCGCGTGGGAGTCATTCGTCATCAAAATTTATTGTTCGTTTGCAGGGCCGGTCACCTTCGTTCGTTGTTGTCACAGCAGNGGGACGATTCGAGCCAAATAAGCATTTTACCCATTTATTTCCCATTAAATAGAGAAGGGAAAATTAACACATAACTCGTGCGGTCGAGAAATGAGGCAATCAACAAAGTGGAGCACTAGAGCCCATATACCACATGTAATGTGCTCAGGGATTGGGATCGATCCATTCCTTAGGATTGATCACTTTATTTTTCGGTAAATTTTTTGGAGGATCGATCATCCGGTTTGGATCGATCCCCCGTCACTTTGTCAAAAATCATTTCCAGAATTTTGACTCCAGAGGATCGATCCTTTGCCCTGGATCGATCCCCCGTGCTTTTGATAGAAATATTTTTTCGAAAGTTTACTCCAGATGATCGATCCTTTCCTCTGGATCGATCCCCAATGCTCCAATCTGTCAAAATCACCTCTTCGCTACCTCCAACGGATTTATTTCTTTTAACCCTATAAAATCCCTCAGCCTCCTTCATTAAAAACACATCTCTTGCACTCCAAACCTTCATTGCTCAATATTCAATTCTTACTTTCATCTTCCTCATCAAATATGTTATTTTGAGAGTTAGAAATATTTTTATTGAGTGCTAAAGATATTGTCATCCATAGAGCTTTCATATTTCAACACTTCTTGCTCAATCGTGTGAGCTTTCATTCTTTTGTTGTAAACTCAATCTTATTTGAGTGTTTTTAAGACTTGTATGATTCAAGTCTTCTTGTTGTTAAGACTTGTGTGACTCAAGTCTTGTTGTAAGAAGTTGAGGCTTGTGTAATTCAAGTTCTCGAGTTGTATCGGTTTTTTAAGCACCCGTTGAAGCTTGAAGTTTAGTAGAACCTTTAAGAGAGTCTCTCGGAGGACTTGACTAGCCACGAGGTGGTGAACCAGTATAAATCACGGTGTACTCCTTTCCCTTGTTCTTTACATTTTTCCTGCGATTTTTCTCTTATTATCACACACGCGATTTACGTACATTATAGTGAACAACTCTATTCACCCCCCTAGAGTTACACTTTTGTCTAAGAATTGGTATCAGAGCAGGAACTTTTTCGAATACTTTTTAATTTTCGGGAACTCAAAGATCAATGGCATCAAGAATGTTCAACGCAGGAGTTAGCGAGGGACAATCAACCACGAGGCCACCGTTGTTCGACGGAACCAACTATTCTTATTGGAAGTAAAGGATGAGGATTTTCATCCAATCCAACGACTACAAACTGTGGTTGATAGTCAAGAACGGGTGTGGAGTCCCGATGAAGAAAGTCGGTGATGTCAACGTCCCCAAAACCGAAGAGGAGTTCACCGACGAAGATTGCAAAAAGATGGAGTTCAATGCAAAGGCAATAAACATGATTTATTGCGGTGTTAATGCGGATGACTACCACAAAATCTCGTGATGTCACTACTACAAAAAAGGCAAAAAGACTGTCTCAATTGTGTCGCATACAAAAATAACCGATGCAAAAGATCAAAGGCATTGATTGTTTTTCAAAAGCGATGCAATTGACTGTTATTAAATAAAATTTTAAAAAAATTGGTATTAGCATCGGTTATTTTTCAAAACCCGATGCAATAGATCAATGGCATCAGTTATAAAAAATAACTGATGCTAATACCTATATTTTATTTATTTAATATTTTCATAAATTAAACAAATGCATCGATTTTTCACGAGAACTGATGCTAAAACCTAATTTTAAATTTTAGGAAATCTTAAACATACAAAGGCATCAGTTGTTTTATTTAACCGATGCTAATACCCTTATTTTTTAAAATGTTTTTAAATAATATAACAAAAGCATCGGTGTTTTTAACAACCGATGCTAATACTCTTTTAGATTTTATTAGTTTTATTTGGACCAATTAGACCTATTCTATAATTTGTAAAACTTTTTTTTTGATTGGAGGCTGGGGAGATCAGGGACTTTATCTTCGATCGGCCGACTTCTTCTAAGACGAATGACCGGGGACTGTGTGTGTATGTATATATCATTCCAATTTTAAATAAAATCGCACAAATCATGACAATCACCCTCAATCAACTCCTACTAGTTGGAATCTATTTTTCACTATAAATTAGGGTGTTTGGGACTTCATTTTTTCACCCAATTACTTCACAAATCACATTCCTTAGCTTCATCGCATTACATTCTCATCTTTTTCATAACTTTTGAGAGCCATTGTTGTGAAGTTTTTTGTATTCTTGAGCGTTATTAGTTTACTCAATATCTACTCTTTTGAGAGTGTGTTGTTCTTGAGTGTTTTAGTGTTTTATACACTTGAAGGAAAGCTTGTTTCCCTTGGTCGTACGAATAAAGGGGACATTTTTTTCGGGGTTGAAGTCTTGGAGTGCGGTATCTCCAAGCAAGGTGTTTGAGGCTCGTAGTACTCGAATTCTCAAGTTTTAAACGTTTTTTTAAGCACCCGTAAGCTTAATGGTAGTAGTGTAGCTTGAGAGAGTCTCTCGGGAGACTAGACGTAGCCACACATTATGGTGAACCATGATTTTTATTACTTTTCACGTACTTGATTCACGTACTTGATCTTAAACATACACACGTGGACTGTGACATGGAAGGCGGTCGACCGTCCATGAGGCAGAATCACGAAGAACCAAGAGAGCTACAGACGATCGACCCCATGGACCGTTCCATGAATGGCGGTCGACTGTCATCATCATGAAGAACTCGGATGTGTCCCATTGCTACCTTGTCTCGAACAAAGTGAATATCAACCTCGACATGTTTGGTGCGTTGGTGCTGGACCGGATTGGTGGAGAGGTAAACGACACTAACATTATCACAAAAAACCAGGGTGGCACGCTGCAGGGGATGCCGTAGCTCAAGTAGAAGGTTTCGAATCCAGCTGGCCTCTACAACAGCGTTGGCAATGGCGTGGTATTTAGCCTCGGTACTAGATCGAGAAGTGGTGGCTTGCCGCTTGGAGGACCAGGAAACGAGATTATCACCGAGAAAGACACAGTAGCTAGATGTAGTCATGTAGAGCATCTGGTGTCTGGGCAGCCAGCCCAGTCTGCATCAGAGTAGGCCTTTAAGATGTCCGTGCGAGAGGGAGTGAATGAAATGCCCAATGTAGCGGTGCCACGGAGATAGCGGAAAACCTGCTTCATAGCTGTCAGATGTGCCTCTCATGGAGCATGAAGATGGATGCATAATTGCTGGACTACATAGGTAATATCTGGCCCTGTGAATGTAAGGTACTGTAGGGCTCCAATAATGGAGCGGTAGAGAGAGGGATCTGATGCAGCTGGCCCATCGGTGGTGGATAGTTTGACTTAGTATCAATAGGGGTGGAGATAGGGCGTCATGTGACCATCCTAGCGCGCTCAAGAATGTCATGAGTGAACTGCGTGTGATGAATAAAGAGTCCACGGGAAGTGCGATGTACATTGATGCCCAAGAAAAAATGGAGATCTCCCATATCTGTCATGGCGAACTCTCCCTTAAGACGTTGTGTGAGTTGCTGAAGAAGATGATTAGAGGATGTTGTGAGAATAATATCATCCACATAGAGGAGCAAATATGACGTGTCTGTCCCAGAGTAAAGACAAAGAGTGACATGTCTGTTTTGCAGCTGCAGAAACCAATAGTCTAAATGAAATCCGCAAAGCAATGATACTACGATCTGGGAGCTTGTTTGAGTCCATATAGTGCCTTCTTGAGTTTGTAAACATAGTGAGGCCTGGCAGGGTCCTGAAATCTGGAGGGCTGAGTGCATAATGTAACACCCCAACCCGCGTAACCCGAACCGATGAGTTGGTGAATCGGGTTGTTACCAGTTTGGTATTCACATGCATAATATTTTAAAAACATTTAAAAATAAAACATGTATTCACATTTATTTTAAAGCAATTGATAATTAAGTGGAGTAAATAATTCAAACGTTGCGGAAGCCTTCAAAAAACAACATTCAACATTTTAGTAATTTAATAAACAAATTCAACAACCTATATTCAATTTAAATAAAACAGCTTCGGCCATCCACCAACGTCATGCTTCACCATCCTCCAGGTTGCTCCTCGTCTAATCTTTGACCCCTACCTGTAAAAATAGGGAGAGTGGAAGTATCTAACGCTAGAACCAACTCATAGATTAACGCCCATTAACATATAATCATACAATATCAGAAAAATCAGCAATTACAATTACCAAAGAGCACAATCAATCATTCGTTCGTTCGTTCGTCTATACATCCGTTCGTTTCAGATCATTGTGTATTGCTACCATACTTAACATATTCGACTAAAGTCTAACTAAACACACTAGTCATGGACACTCTTGGAAAGGTGTCCAAGAGGCCAAGCTTGTAAACCCAATGGAAGGTGTCCAATTGGGCGGGTTGGAGCCCCTACCACGGAGGTGCCGAGGCAGGTCACGGACTCCCGTACGTACGCTTTAATCCTAGAGACCATGAGATGTATGCCGACACCTGCATGACCTTAAGTTCCAAATCCTTAGTTCTATAAGTGAACACAATATCCCTAACTATTCAATTCCGTTCTGAGTCTCCTAGATATACGAGGTGACTTATTTCTTAATTTCAATTCCGTACCTCAAAACCAATTCACAGTACCAATTTCCAAATTCAATTTCAACACAATCAATCATACAATTCAATAATCATAACCACAAATTCAACGTCAATTGAACGAAGATATATCAACGAATCCTAATCTATGAACTAATTCTAACGAGAGATAAATCACTCACCTCAATTCAATTGACGGAAGAATTTCAATTTAATTACTTGATGTAGTTTCCCGGAGAATTGTTCCGGCGATTTCCCTCCCCGGTGGTCTCCCTCGCTTGACTGGTTGACGAATTGGAATTGGCAAAGAACGAAGAAGAAGATCGCACCTCTGGTTGTCCTCTCTAATTCCCACTGCTATGTCCGCGATCTGAAAGAAAGAAGAAGTCCGAGGTTGAATCGGCGAAGTATACAAGGAAGGGGAAGTCTGATCGGCTAAACGCCTAAACCTATGGAGGGATACTTACTGCGCGTATTTAACATTTAGCATTGGGAATGACTTGCCAATTCCAATTAGGATTTCATAACTTATATAGTCCCTCCGTCCCAAAATATTCACAACATTTGCTTTTTCAGCAATCGCAGAAACTTTTGTTTATTTTTACGTTTTCATTGGTTATTTAATAAAATAAAATATTCTTGACACCTCTTATTTTGAAAAACTTTTCATGTAGTTTTTTGATATGTAATTTTTATTTTTTATTTCTTTACCAATATGTAAATAAAATGAATTGAAAAAAATTGATATTTTACTTCGGTAATAGAAATGTAACAAATAATTTGGGACGGAGGGAGTATTTGGTCCCTTAATATCCTTACGTTATTATATTATTATACTATAACATCCTCTTATTTACTTTTTGAACAATAACTTCCATTTTACTTACCACGCTTAACACAACAGTCCAATTTTAACAAACTATATACCGTTAGTCACCATTTTACGCGATCTACCCGAAAATCTAATTTGTAATTAAAATGGTCAACTTTATAAAAAAATTCATATTTTGGAGTCAATAAATAATATATTTATTTTTATTAAAATTTCGGCTAACTACTAAGCCATTTTTTACGTCTAGTTGATGGATAGGCCACCCCTGAGAAAGAGCTACACTGAACACAATGCGCACCATGGCCGGTTTTATTACCGGACTAAAGGTCGCATCATAATCAATGCCGAATCTCTGGTTGAAACCGCGAACAACTCATCGAGCTTTGTGCCTGGATAACTCACTTGTAGGGCCAAGTTTATGTCGAAAGATCCACTTATAGGTTATAATGTTTTGGTGGGG